CAGTTGGCAGAGGCAGCAGTCGTGTTCGTTACCATGTCATTGTTGGTATGCTGCAAGTTACCTCAGGGTGGGTTTTGTACCTTGTTTAGCACCTTCTTCGTGTCTTTGTTTGTTTGTTTTCCCCCTCTCCTTTTCTTTGGCCCATGCTCAAGCACCAGCTTTCTGGTTTCTGTGAGTGACAGCCCTGTGTTGTACCAGGCAGCATGTGAGAGGACTGAGCCTGTGGCCTCCCGCAAAACGTGCGGGGATCCCTGGGGACACGGTTTTCACTTAATGTTGCCGACAGGATTGGGCCCGAGTAAATATCAGTACTTTGCACTTGAATGCACCTTTTGTCTAAGCCCGAGTGGTTGTGGCTGAAGGAGGAACCTGAACGTGTCGAGACCCAAAGGCTGCGTGCCTCCTGCGTGCCTCCTGCGTGCCAGGAGGACGCTGCGTGCCAGGAGGACATCATGATTTGAGCCCCACGAGGAAGGGGGATGTGTTTGTGTGTACACGAGAGATGGAGCGAATGCGCGTGCGCTGGCTCAGCCTCCGGTGCTTTCACAAATTTCAGTCCCGTTTCTTCTAAAGCAAAGCGAAGAACCAGGTAAGTTTTATTTATTTAATGGTTCCGCAATGTGATCTTTCTTACAACAAGGCTGAAATATTTGTCTTTTATTTTTATGTGCTTGGAAATACCCTTCTGGTTTTGATTCTTCAAATAGCAGAGGAACTGCAGGTTTCCTGGTAGGCAGAGTCCTCTCCCCGCCAGCCAGGGCTGGCAAAAACTGCTGCCAGCCTCTCTGGGCAGGGCGAGCTTGAGACACTCGTGTGTCGCCCACCAGCGCATCGTCCTGCTGCTCCTGGGACCTGCCACAGTTCTTCCCCAATGCCTCTGCTAGGAGCGGGGTGAGGAGGAACAGGCTCTCTGGGATTTTTTTTTAGAGATATTTTTTTTTCTTTGAAAAGTAGAAAGGAAGATATTCCTCCGTCTCCGAGAATGGGATGCAGGGCGAGCTTGAGACACTTGTGTGTCGCCCACCAGCGCATCGTCCTGCTGCTCCTGGGACCTGCCACAGTTCTTCCCCAATGCCTCTGCTAGGAGCGGGGTGAGGAGGAACAGGCTCTCTGGGATTTTTTTTTAGAGATATTTTTTTTTCTTTGAAAAGTAGAAAGGAAGATATTCCTCCGTCTCCGAGAATGGGATCCACAAAAAGGGACCTGAAAGTTTTTTCCATAGGTTGACTGCCCAGGCCACATTTTTGCTAAGTCTTTTTACACTGATCCAGGAAAGTAAAGAGGTTTTAGCGTAAAAAAGAATCGGGCTGTGTCTGTAGTCTGTCCTGACAACTTCTCTGCTCTTGTAACCTGGGATCTGGTGTTTTCCTGCAAAGCTAAGTAAAATGGTTCTGATTCAAGTTGGGAATCACTTTTTAATTCCGATGGAACTTATCTTAAGACACTGAATCTAAGCGGTGCATCAGTTCTCTGTGTTTCTTAAAAAGCACAGATTTTGTATTTCACTTCCCAGCAAGGCAGCTTGACTGGGTTTGACTGTGAATGGGCTCCCCAAGTGTCGTTTCTGACCGGAGGGCAGGACCTGGCCCATGCAGAGCAGGAGGGTTAAGGAAGGATGGTCCATCCTCAACCCCGACTAAGCGCACGGCAGGTCTGGGTGTTATCTGATGAGACTCTGGATCAGACTGATTTCCCTAATGCAGAAGGTCCTGGAGGGGCTGCCCCGGGTGGTGAAATGAGTTCCGTAACGACGAGTGGCTGCGTGGGTCGTGGGTGATACAGACAGGGGTGCTGGAGCAGCGGCTACGCTGCACGTTGCATTCTCGTCTAGACCTTTAGGAAGGAAGCAAAACAGATGTTCTTGCTCTCTTTAAATGGCATTGTGTGTGCAACGGTGCATTTGGCTTTCAAGACAAAGTAGGGAAAAATGAAGCCTTGGCTTCCAGACTTTACATAAAGGTGTTAGTCCTGCACATCGTTCCAGGCATTCACCCAGTACCACAGTAGTTTCCTCTGCTGGCAAAGCCCCACTACTTCATGGTGCCTTTGAAAACTGGAGTGAGCTTGTAAACTTATACAGAGCAGTTGCAACAGTCGAACGTTCCTAAGTCCATGGGGTCTGCTGGGATTCACCCCAGAGTACTGAAGGAGCCAGTGGATGTTACAGAAAGACCCTTCTTGATCATCTACCAAAAGCCTTGGCAGTCTGGGGAGGTGTCTGCCGACTAGAAGCTGGCCAGCGTTATTCCGGTTTACAAGGAGGGCATGAGGGAGGACCCAGGGAATTACAGACCTGTTATTCTAACCTCAGTTCCTGGAAAAATTACAGAGAAGATCATACTGGGTGCTATTGGAATATAAGAATAATGCAGCCATCAGGCACAGTCAGCGTGGGTTCACAAAGGGAAAGTCCTGTTTAACTACTTTGATACCCTTCCACGATAAGGTCACCCACCCAGAGGATGAAGGGAAGGCGGTGGACATGGTTTTTCTGAATTTTAGTGAGGGGCGACCCTGTCCTCTCTACAGCTTCCTGAGGAGGGCAAGTGGAGAAGGAGGTGCTGGTCTCTTCTCCCTGGGATCCAGCGATGGGACATGTGGGAGTGGTTCAGAGCTGTGCCAGGGAGATTTAGACTGGATGTTAGGAAGCGTTTCTTTGCCAAGAGGGTGGCCAAAGTCTGGAACGGGCTTCCTAGAGAGATGGGTGATGCCCCAAGTCTGTCAGTGTTCAGGAGGCATTTGGGCAAAGCCTTTAATGACATGCTTTAACTTTTGGTCAGCTCTGAATTGGTCAGGTGGTTGGACTAGATGGTCGTTGTAGGTCCCTTCCTGCTAAAATATTCTATTCTATTCTATTCTATTCTATTCTATTCTATTCTATTCTATTCTATTCTATTCTATTCTATTATTCTTATTCTATATATTTACTCTTTCATATTGCCTTCACTATTAATTTCACTGGTGTTATATTGAGGTTGAATGCGATCCTGAGTATACACAACAGAATATGTTGGCTGTGATTTTAGGGTGTTTTTTTTTTCTTACGTTGTCTGTCATTTTCTGAAGAAGCAGTGGCTGTGGCAGTAACTTTCATGTACCCTTTTTCTGTTTACAAAGATGACCAAAAATAGTGCCCTTATTCACAGGGTACCTGTACCTGCAACACAGGCATTTGAGTGATACAAAGACTACTGCGATTTTGCAGGAACTGCACAGTTTTGTGGTGTGTGGCTCAAAAGTAATTACCCCAAAATAATCCTCTTGAGGATTTTACCTTGCGTTGTCGTGACAGGGCACGCTGATTCCTGCGTCATTACCACCCCACTTTGTCATCCTTCTCAGCACTTCTTCAAAACCTGCTGAGACCAGGATGGAGAAATATCATTTAATTACCCTCCCTGAACGTGGCAATCTCTGTTGCAGTCCAAGCACATACCATTGTGCATCTTTTTATGTGCTATAAGTGATGCTAAATGATCCTGTGGCGTTGGTGTGGGATCAGGAAGACTGCTATGAAGAGAGGTAGGCAGACCTATCTGTGAGAGCTTCACACAAGTGCATTGGTCCAAATCCTATTATTTACTCCCAAATTCTGTTATTTGCACTGCTGACTAGCTTTTAGATCAATTTAATTAAAGAAAAACTGACCCCGTTGTGCAGTCTTTTGGTCTAACTGACTGTCCCAGGTGGTCTTTGAATGCTGAACCTGCCCAGGTCCCCTGGTTTAAGAGCAGCTCCTGGGCTTGCCACGTATCGCAGCTTCTCCCATGTTTGTGCTCACGTGCCTTTAGGAAAAGCAGCGGATGGACTGGGTATTTCACATCAAAAGAGAGGAAGTTAGATGTTAAGTAATTTTTGTTAGTTTTTAATTATGAAATTGTTTTAGTTTTCCTCTTCAAACTAATCGCCCCCACCGTTCCCCATTGACCAGGCTTCCCGCGTTAGTTTGTAGGTCGGTTTGTGCCACCGACAGGTCCGTGTTTCAGCTTCCGCCTGCCGGCCCCTTCCCAGGGCTTTGGGCTCTGCTCTCAAGGGGAGGAGCGATTGCAACAGCTTTGCCCTTGAGTGGAAACTGGTTTTTCTTTATTCTTTTTTTTCTTCCCTTTCCCTTTCCCTTCTTTCCCTTTCCCTTTCCCTTTTCCTTTCCCTTTCCCTTTCCCTTTCCCTTTCCCTTTCCCCTTCCCCTTCCCCTGGAAGCTGTTGTGCTTAGGTATCAGGT